TTGGAGTCAATTAAAATATTTGAACCAATAATTTCAGTATTTGAAGCAAATATGAATTAAACCATTTAATTGACTCCAATAAATATTATTTGATTCAATTAAATATATTTAATTGATAATAGTCAATTAATCGGTTATTTGAATTAAATACAATTTTTTTCAGTCTAAAATCTTTTTAAAATGATTGAATTTTTGAAAAATATAAAAAATAAGCAATTTTTGGAAGAATTTTAATTAAAAATTTTTAACATGATTTGTTTTCTCCAAAATGTGAAAAATGATTCTAAAAAATTTTAATGTTGTTATTTGAATTTTCGGAAATATTCATTGAAAATAATTGAATATTTTAAAAAATTAGAATGAATTCAATTATTTTCAAACTTTGCAAATAAAATTCTTCAAAATTTGATTTTCAAAAATTGGAATAAAATATTTGAAAAATATAAATTATTTTGAATTAAATTTTACTAAATTTCAATTATATTCAAAATCTTTTTAATTATATTTTTAAAATTTTGTTAATTGTAAAAGATTATTCAAAAATATAATTTTTTTTTTTTGAAAATAAGTCGAAAAAAGAAATTATTTGCTTTTATTAAATAATATATTTGCATTGAATAATGCAATATTTGAATTAAATAGTTTAGTTTAGTTGTATGAAAGTTGAGTGAAATAAATAAATAAATTCTTTCAAATAACTCATTATTTGTATTAAATAAATTTATTTATTAAAGTCAATTAATATTATTTAATTGACCCAATTAAGATTCATTTGATTTAAATAAATGTGATTCAAATAATTCAAGTTATTTGAATCAAATAATTTTTTTTCAGTGTAGAAAAAAAAGTGTTTTTGTGAGTTTTATTATCCAGGTAGACGGTAAATAATAGATTTTAGTTTTAAAAATAATAGTAAAACGGAATGTTACACTATTACATAATAATTAGGTAGAAAATGAATGAATGAATGGTGAATGCAGCTTTTGTCGGTGCATCTGGCGTTTGTTGTGGAGTAAAAGTTTCTAGTAACTGAGGTCAAGCTTTTGTTGACCAGAATGGATTAGCGACCACTCGAAAGAAATGTTGGACTCCTGGAGGACAGGTCTCTAAATAGGCTATTTGTGAGCCAACTGGAGGGCAGGTACAATGGTTTACGGTTTACGGTACCAACTACCGTTAAAGGGAACCCCCTGTTTAGGCTCGTCTCCGATTAGATTACAATCTTTTTGGATTAACTCATAACTGTACTTCTCCATTTTTCTCATTTTAACTTACAAATGTCAATTATTGCTTCATATCATATTATCAGTTACTTTCGGTATTTGGAAATTTTATTTTCTAATTATGAATTTACGATTCGTCATCATCAGGTTTGCAATTTAATGATCGAAATACGATGTATTTCGTGACTTATTATTAAAAAAAAGCAGCGTCTATTCTAAAAAAAATTATTTGATTCAATTAATTCAAGTTATATTTGAAAAAAATATTTTTTTTTATTGAAATAATTTTTACTTTGACCTAATAAATATTTATTTCCTTCATATATATAACTGGAATTATTTGAATGACAATTATTTGAATCAAATGAATCTTAATAGGGTCAATTAAAAAACTATAATTGAATCTAATAAATGAATTTATTTAACACAAATAATAAATTATTTAAAACAATTAATTTATTTCACTCAATTAATTGGATATTTGTTAAAAATAAAAATTATTTGACACAATATTGCAGAAATTCAATTATTTTCAAAAGTAATAAAATTCTTCCAAGAAATTCAATTATGTTAAAAAATTTTAAATAATTCTCGTCACAATTTTAATTATTTTCAAAATTTTCCCTCAATTCAATTAATTTCATGATTCATAAATTTTTTTACAAGGATTAAAATAATTTTCAAAAATAATAAAATTCTTTTCAAGAATTCAATTATTTTCAAAAGTAACGAAATTCTTCGTAAAAATTCAATTATGTTACAAAATTTTTAAAAATTTTCGTCAAAATTTCAATTATCTCTAAAAATAATTAAATTTTTCTTCAAAATTCAATTATTCTCAAAAACGTTAATTAAATTCTCGTCAAAATTTCAATTATCTTTATAAATAATTAAATTCTTCTTCAAAATTAAATTTTCTAGAATTCAATTATTTAACAAAAATAAAAAAATTCTACTCAATAATATTTAAAATTTTTCATAAATAATAAAAAATTCACAAGAATACAATTATTTATAATTTTTTTTTTATAAATTTCTTCGCAATAATTCAATTAATTTCATGAATAATACAATTTTTTACAGGCATTCAATTATTTTTAAAAATAATAAAATTCTTTTCAGGAATTGCAAATATTTTCAAATGTAATAAAATTCTCGTCAAAATTTCAATTATCTTTATAAATAATTAAATTCGTCTCCAAAATTCAATTTCAAAAATGTTAATAAAATTCTTGGCAAAATTTCAATTCAAACTATCTTCATAAATTTTCCTCAATTCAATGATTTTCAATGTCTACTACTTTAATAAAATTTTCTGATAAAATTCAATTATTTAAAAAAATTGTAATTACATTCTACGGAAACATTTAATTATTTTCATAAATATTAAAAATTTCATAGGTATTGAATTATTTGCAAATTTTTTAGAAATTTCTTCGCAGTAATTCAATTATTTTCATAAACAATAAAATTTTTTACAGGGATTCAATTATTTTTGAAGATAATAAAATTCTTCATAGGAATTCAATTATTTTCGAAAATAATAAAATTCGTTTTAGGAATCTCATTATTTTCATAAATAATAAAACTAATCGCAGAATTTCAATTCATTTTTTAATCAATTTTTATTGAATTCAATTATTTACAAAAGTAACAAAACTCTTCGCAGAATTTCAATTATATTAAAAAAAAAATTTAAATTACTTCTGAATATCAATTATTTTTATAAATAATAAAATTCTTCTACAAAATTCAATTATTTTCAAAAATTTGAATAAAATTCTTGGGAAAATTTTAATTATTTTTAAAAAATTTCCTCAATACAATGATTTTCAACATCTATTTTAATAAAATTTTCCAAAAGAATTCAATTTTAATTTTGGAGAAGTTACAAATGATTGCGGAAATTCAATTATTTTATAAAGAATTTTAAATTCTCGTCAAAATTTCAATTATCTTTAAAATTTATAAATATTTATTCGCAATAATTGAATTATATTCATGAATAATAATAATATTTTTTACAAAGATTCAATGATTTTTAAAAATAATAAAATTCTTCTCAGGAATTCAATTATTTTCAAAAGTAACAAAATTCCTCGCAAAAATTCAATTATATGTTCAAAATGTTTTTAAAATTCTCATCAAAATTTCAATTATCTATTTAAATAATTAAATTTTTTTTTCAAAATTTCAATTATTTTCAAAATTTTTCGAAAAATTTACTTACTTATAAATCACATATAAATTTTTTCTCAATAATTCAATTATTTTCGTAAAATAATAAAATTTTGTACAAGTACTCAATTATTTTCATAAATAATAAAATTTCTTTGAAGAATTCAATTATTTTCATATATATAGTAAATCTCATCATAGAATTTCAATTATTTTTATTACTGTAGTTTAATAGAATTTCTCGAAAAAATTTAATGAAAAAATTTTATTAAAATTCGTCAAAAGAATTCAATTTTTTTTTTAATTTGTTGATAAAATTCATTACGAGAATTCAATTTTAAGAAACAGTCAATAAATTATTTATTTTTATATTTAAATAATTGAATTATATTAGAATTTTCTAATAAAAATTAATTTAAAAATTTACCGTGAATTTAAAAAAAAAAATAATTGAATTTTGAAAAGGTTTCAAAATGAAATATTTGAAAATCAATATTTTTCATACTTTTAAGTAACAATTCTGTTGAATTATTTTTCAGAAAAAGTTTAATTATTATTGATTTATTTTTTTTAATTATTTGGAGTTTTTATTTTCTAAAATATATTTAATTGAAGAATTTTCCAATAATTGAAATTTCGTAAAATTGAATATTGTAAACAAATGGATTTGCAAATTCTCAAAGAACTTTTTCCAAAATTATAAATTGAAATGATGAAAATTAAATTAAAGAAGTTACAGTAACAATATTCTAGTATAAAATAATTATTTTAATTCTCGAGTCATCTTTAATTATTAAAAAACATGAAGAAATTGATTACACCGAGTCGAAGACTCGGAGTGATCGATTTCTTCATGTCTTTTTTTTAAATAATATTCTTGTAAGTTGTTGAATTTTGAAAAATATAAATTTTTTTGAATTTATAATAGACAAGTAAATCATTTAATTAAATCAAATAATTTTTTTACTTGATTCAAATAATTATCTTTCCAATGTCGTGATTATATTTTATAATTTTGAAGAAGTTAAAGTTAAAGTAACAATATTTTAACTTTTATTTTTTCGAGAAATTCTATGAAAATATTTAGTTAAAGTTAAAGTAACAATATTCGTGTAATGTAAAATAATTATTTTGTTTCTGAAAAGAAGAAGAAGTTGAATGGAAAAATTTGTGTTTGGTGGAATAATAAAAATGAGACGCAGGCAGGCAGGCAGTACAGGACGAATGGACCTTTCCGCGCTGAAAAGACTCTCTCGTAGCACTCACGAATGCCTGGAATGACCCAAAAACAGTTTGGCGCGTACACACGATGCGGTTTTGTGCGGGTTTTCTTGGGTGTAAAGACGGCCTGGATTGCCTCAACCCTTCCCTCCCCCTCCGCCATCGCCCCCACTCCCCCCCTCTGTAATCGTAACGCGCCCGGTCATATTCGCAAAAGAGTCCCGGTCGCTGCTACGTGTTTCCCCCCCGGGTACGCACAGCGCGCCTGCGCTCTCAATTATGACGTCGCACGCTGTGACGCCACAAGCTCCCATTGGTCGAGGCTGACGCCGAGGGAAGTGGGAGGGGGGCGCACCCATGAACCCGCTCCACCGCTGCCTGCATTCTCGAGCGTTCGTCTCCGTGCACAGCAGCAGGCAGAACACGTCTCGCGCGCCAACCATTATTCCGCGTCTCGTGCACTTCCTACTATCACAATAATAAATTCTCTCTCTCTCTCACTCTCTTTCGCCTTCGTCAAGAGTTTGTTCGCGAAGAAAATATTCTTTTTCCAGCTCTTCATTATATGAGTAAAAATATTTCTTCATAAAACAGTGTTACTAAGCGGAGTGAAATTGCCGTGACCGCGATTCTTTTCCACCTCCCGAACGGAAACCTAACGGTGAAGTTGTATTCTTTTTTTTGGTTTTTTTACAACTCCATGCAGTGTGAATAGAATTTTTTGTTGGTGTTGTGAATATATACGCAGTTCGTTTTGGAAAAACGTGTGGAGTATGTACTAGGGGGGCGGAGAGGTACAATAGTTCGTGAAGTGTGAATAACCAGTGTCCGAATAAATCTCGCGAAAATGATGGGCAAACGTACCCAGTGTTATTTGTGCGATCTACCCAGAATGCCCTGGGCAATGATTATGGATTTCTCAGAGCCCGTTTGTCGTGGTTGTGTCAATTATGAAGGCGCCGATAGAATAGATCTCGTTCTCGAATCCGCCAAACAATTGAAAAAAGCTCATGGCTTTCAAGATTCACGACCATCAGCATCGAAAACCTACAGAACGTCAACACTCACCGAACATAACGGCGGCACGAACATCGACGTTCTTCCCATACAGAATGCCGGGCAGAGCCATTCGCGGCATCACAACATTGCTGGCTACTCACAGCTCCATCACAGAAACTCCATAACGGAATTTAATTCTAGTTCTAGGCAACAACAGCAGCAGCAGCTGACTCGCCAACAACAGCAACAGCAGCAACAACAACAACATGAGGAGCCTCACGAAATTGCCAATGGCTTGAGAAATAATAGTGTTCAACGAATGTCAAATGCCCATTTAGCGGCAGTCGCTCATCATGTGAATTTGAGTCACAATCGTGGTATCACACAATTGAAGAGAGGAATATCCACAATCGATGAGGACGAGCACGCTGAGAAGCGTCTCTCTCTCGAGGAGCAGCATCCTGTTAGACCACCCTTGACCAGGGGGGAATCTCTTCCTGCAGTGAGTCTTGCGGTTAGTTACGTGCAAGACAGAACCAAGGAGAAACATCCCGTGAGGGCTCCAAGTTTTGAAACGGCCACCACTTTCAAGGCCAATGGTAAGTCCCCCACCCCCCTCTCCATTATGGGTTCATTAAAAACTCATTGACTCTCCGATATCGGGAGTCTATTTTCGATTTAAATGGAAGGAAAATTGTACCTCAAGTTTTCTTGCAGATTACATTAAAGTATGGAATTCTATGAATTTTAAGAAAAAAATAAATCCGTCGAGCACTTTTTGAGAAAAATGAAAAAAAAAACGAAAAACTTTGGATTTTTACGAAATATATATGCAATCGACTTGCAAGACAATCAAAATGTTTAACATTGACAATGTTAATTAATATTTTTCACATTTAATTACTGTTCATCCGCGAAAAGTTCATTAATGACTATTAAAAATATTGCAAATTATAGAAATACCAAAAACATTTACGTTAACCTACAGCATTTAAAATATAAAGTAATCATTTAGAAAGAATTTTTAAAACTATTAGTTTTGTGACAAAAAAATGTTTCCACATTTTTTATTCTTAAAAATTAATAGATTTTAAAATCCATTCGTATAATTTTGTAGAAAATTTTTTTTTTGTATCTACAAAATAATTAGCGAATGAAAAAAATTGATTTTTACAATTTTTGAAGCACCTTTTAAAAAAGACATTGTTTTTAGGTTACAAATGCTAAAAATCTATTGTTATTCAATTTTCTTTTGTAGAAATTAACTTGTTTATTTTTCTATAACTAATTTCGAATTATAAATAGTTTTTTAAAATAGAAAATATAAAGTAACAAAATTATGATTTGAAATTAGTTATAGAACAATAGACAAGTGAATTTTAATTCAATTATTTTCAAAAATTTCTATAAAATCTTTGAAAAATTCATTTATTCTACAAAATTTCTATAAAATCTTTTAAAAATTTTTTAAAATTCAATTATTTTCCAAATTTCCTAAAAGATTTTGTAAAAATTCAATTATTTTACAAAAATTTCTATAAAATCTTTTAAAAATTCAATTACTTAAAAAATTTTAATAAAATTTATCGGAAAAATTCAATTACTTTTATTACAATTTTAATAAAATTCTCTTCAGAATTCAATAATAATTAATTTAATAAATTAATTAAAATTTCATAAACAAAAATATGATAAAATTATGACTTGAAATTAGTTATAGAAAAATAAAAAAGTGAATTTCTATATAAAACATTGAATAACAATGGTATTTTTTATCTTTTTCAACATAAAAATAATGTTTTTTTGAAATATGCTTCAAGAATTGTAAAAATCAATTTTTTCATTCAGTAATTTTTTTGTAGATATAAAAACATATTTTCTACAAAATTACGGTTAAATTTTAAAATAATTAATTAATATTAAAAGAATATAATATCTATTAGACATTATATTAATTTAATATTAACTAATTAATAAAAATGTTAATAAAGAATATAAAAATTTAAATACTTTAATGTAATCTGCAAGAAAATTTGAGTTTCCTTCGATTTAAATCGGAAAAACACACCGTGCGATAATTAAACAAAGAAACACTATTACAGTCTCAACACCAAACAATTGTCAATAACAAAAGGCAATTTTTACATTTTTGCCAATTTTTGAAAAAAGTCATTTTCAAATTTTAAGCGTTTGGAAAATAATATTCAAACTTCGACCCAAATACGTGCAACTACCTAACTGGTTTTTCAAAAGCAATTTTGAAGAAACTTTGTAAGAAAAATTCCGACAAATATCGATTTTGAAACTTGAAAAAGTTATTCAACGTACGTGCGAAGAACAAAAACTTTAATTAGTCTTTTAAAGTTTTTATAATTTTGAAAAATCGATTGTGAGTTTGAAACTTGAATGAGAAATATTCGACTAATTTCAACGTAAACATGTGGGAAAACAAAGTTACAAGGTTGCCACAAAAATTTAACTTTGTTTCTCCCTGATTTCCAGAAAAAATGTTGACTTTCCTTTTTTATTAGAAAATTCTACGAGAATTAAATTATTTAAATAAAAAAAATAGATAATTTATTGAATGTTTCTTAAAATTGAATTCTCATAAAGAATTTTATCAACAAAATTTTAAATAATTAAATTCTTTCGACGAATTTTTAAAAAATTTTTAAGAATAATTATTCGAGGAATTCGATTGAAATTGTATTTAAAAATAATTGAAATTCTGCAATGAGTTTTATTATTTTTGAAAACAATTGAATTCCTAAGAAGAATTTTATTATTTATGAAAATTATTGGAATTATTGCGAAGAAATTTATAAAAAAAATTTGTAAATAATTATTGAATTCCTGTGAATTTTATTCAAATTTTTTAAAATAATTGAATTTTGGAGAAGAATTTTATTATTTATACACGAAGAAAAATATAAAGTATAACTTTTACTATACTTTTATAGTAAAACATTTCTTTACTCCAAAAGTACTAAAAATTACCAGAAATGCTTTACCGGAAATTTTTTTACTATAAAAGTAGTAAAAGTTATATTTTATATTTTTCTCCGTGTAAAGATAAATAAAGATAATTGAAATTTTGACGAGAATTTTTCAAAAATTTTTAAATAATTGAATTTTTGCGAAGAATTTTGTTATTTTTGAAAATAATTGAATTTCTGCGAAGAATTTTGCTACTTTTGAAAACAATTGAATTTCTGTAATCATTTATAACTTCTCCAAAATTGAAATTTTTTTTAGGTTTTTTTTAGATAAAATTCTTTTATAAACCCATTATTTTTAATAATTAGTTAAATTTAACTAATTTCAGAAGAATTTGAATTATTAAAATTTTTCAAAAGACTAAGTTCTTTAAAATTTTTTATTTAGATCATTAAAAATTAAAACTATAGAATTTCAAATTGAAACCTTTTGAAGTTTATCTATTTATGGAAATTGTAAACGCAATTTTTTAAAAATTGAATTAATTTTGAAATATTTAAGTAAAATTATTTACTAAATAATTTATATGTAATAATTTTATAACCATTTTATAATAATTTTTTAATAATTTTTCAAGAATTAAATTATTTAAAGAGAAATTATTGTCAGAAATAGAAATAATTGAATTTTTTGTATTAGAATTCGTGGTAATTTCATAGTTTATGAGTCAAAGAAAAAAGACACAAAAATTCAGAAGTTTCTTATGAATTCTAAAATTTTAATTTATTCCAGTACTTTTAATAGAAATTGTAAAGAAAGTAAAAAAAAAGTGGTCAGTGTTGAATAACTGTTTTGTACGCAGATTTTAGTTATTTTTACATAACCTAAAAACGATTTTAAAAAGTAAATGTTTAGTATAGAAATATTCCTATTCGAATCAGCAACTGACGTCTTATAATATTAGTTATTTTTATCGAATTCAAATTTAGAAAGTCGATTCTAAAAATACTAAATTTTTGAAACAGTTGCTTTTAACCTTTTATCTACATCAGATTATTGCAGAGGTTAAGATAAATTTTGTTTCTTTATAGTCGGAATTCTACACACTATTTTTTAAAAAAAGGTTCGGTTCATCTTCGTTTTAATGACTTCGACATAGTTAGGACAATTTATAGGTTAGGTTCCTTTACAAATTTAAATTTAAATGTTTCAAAATTTAAAAAAATTCTTATAACGACAAGTTAGGTTTATTTTATTAAAAAAAAATTAACCCTAACTTGTCGTTATTAGAATATTTAAAAATTTAAATTTTTAAAGATTTTAATTTTTAAAGGCAGAAGCAAATTTTAACCTTTTCTCATCACGAGAAGGTATTATTTATGTTTAAAATTTGAAGACTTTTAGAATTCAAACCCAAGAAAGAATTTTCAAAAATTCTGACAATAAGCTGAGATTTTATCAATTCTTTTATTTTAGCATTTTTTTCAGTGAATTTAAAAGCAAAGATAGAAATTACAGTTCTTTTTGAGAAGAAAAAGAAACATTTAGAAAACGCATAACTTGGAAAGGAATAGTGACCAATTAACGAACCGGAAGTGAGGCAATTCTTTTATTTTTATATGTTTGTAAAGCACGTTCGAGAAACGTTTTTAAAAGTGCCTCTTGTCACGTACGTTAGTTTCGCAAATTTAGAGCAAGCAGGAATACGATAAGAGATATCTTGTATCTTTCGTGAGCGAGACACGTCACACGCATGTTTTTTTTTATTCTTTCTAATCTTGTTTCTCCACCACACACGAATAAAAGTAGATGCGTGCGCAACAACACATTACGAGATGTTTATATAGATCATTGTTACGAACAACTCTTTAGGAATTCTCCCGGTCAACACGTGATTTCTTTATTTCTTATCAGCATTAAAAATAAAGAAGCTATTGTATACGTATATATATAATATGAACTGCGCTCTCTTGGAATATAAAAGTTATTCACTTTTTATCTCAATGGCGTAGAAATTCACTTTTTATGCGTAAATTTTCAAAAAAAAAAAAAAAAAAAAAAAAATACTAAATTTTTCAAGTCTTTCTCTAAATTCTCAAAAAAGACAAAAAGATTTTTTTATAGTAATTGAGACAAAAAAAAGAATCAAAATTGTTGCAAAATTTTTTTGAAAATTCTGAAAAATAAGATTTTTGAAATTTTTCAATTCTATTGTTTCAAGATAATTGAATTTTTATAAACAAATAATTAAAAAATTTTTGAAATAATTAAAAATTCTTTACATTCTATTAAAAATAATTAATTTCGTTTAAAGAATTTTATATTTTTTCGAAAATAATTAAGGAAAGTTAGTCACCGTAATTATAATTTTATTTTTAAAAATTCAATTATTTTCATAAATTGCAAAATTCTTCAGATTTACTAAATTATTTTAAATATTATTTTTAAAAATTATTCTTCACAAGAATTCAATTATTTTCGTAAATTTCCATAGAATTCTAAAAAATAAACGATTCAATTATTTTCAAAAGTAATATAAAATTCTTCGCAGAAATTCAATTATGTTTAAAAAATTTTTTTAAATTCTCCTCAAAATTTTTAATAAAATTCTATGCATTTTCATAAATAATAACATTTTTTTTGAAGGATTTAATTACTTTTA